TTATTTCGGTTTTTTTCGTATGCATTATTTCGGTTTTTTTCATATGCATTATTTCGTATGCACACTTTCCATATGCACAATTTCAGGGTGCCCCATCGAATGTTTCATGCTTGTCATCAATCTTATTTAATAGTCGTTCGCACAATTGAATTATTACATGTGTCAGCTGCTGCTCCTACTCGCTTAGTACTGAACGCGCAGCGCCGTGCACTGCGACACAGGCAAATCAACAAAACGAGGCTGTTTGACTCTCGATTTTCTTTCCCGCGTTAAGGAGCGCTGTGGCAGCGGTGGACTTTAATTGGAAATATTTGTACCTTTTCAAGTCAGAAATTTCGCATTAGCTCAGAAGAAAATCAAAGGCTAGAAATGAACACTATATGATTCTTAGCATCAGAACCACAAACTTTAAGAACAATAATATTTAAATACTTAAATATTTGAAACTTCAGAGTTTCTTCTATAATTCAATATCCTTCTTCCATCCGTCTTTGCGCTGAAATTTACAAATAAGTTAAGTCGGAATTTTAATGCTCTCACCCCCTTGGATTGTTCTGTACCGAAAAAACATACTCCCATTTTTTCCGTAGAATACGTCTTAGAGCGCGGTTACCCATGAACGTGTACGTAGCGTAGCGTAGAAGTACGTAGATAGATATCAAGTATGCTGTTGATAGAAAGAGAGAGAAGCAACGTCTACGTCACGGTCATGCGGTGGTGAGTTTTTGTTAACACGCAGATCCCATAAGACAGGTCGTGTCAGCTGACACGTTCTCCGTTTTTACGTCCGTGGGTAACTGCGCTTTTACGCTTCGATATGGAAGCTATGCTCAAATGTTGTAGATGTAATTTTTAGAGCTTCACAAAAACGCTCATTGCACGAGAACTAATGAAGCGATTTCAAAGCAGAATATGGCGCTTTAAATATAAAATTCCAAGCCAATAGAAAAGTCGGTAAATATTGGCTTATTTTAGGGTCAATTTTGAGCTTTAAAGAGCTCTACCTACTTATGATTTTCAGATATAACTTTTATTTTCGGGATATAGGTTCTTTGAAGCAATAGAAATATTATCGTGAACAAATTTATAAACATTCAACAAATACTGAGCATTTTTGAAACAATTTGCAAATATTTTTTTATTACGAAAATGCCAGAAATCCGCTTGAATAATTTTGTTTTTCTTTTCTTTAGTCAAAAACTCAAGGTTTTTCCTTTCGTTTGGTATACGGGAACTATAAAATATATGGGCATAAATGATTTTCTATGCAAAACCACTTTGCCATCATTTTGCATACACGTGCTTGCGCCGGAAACGAGAGAAGAGACCAAAAGTATGTGTGTGTATGTAGGTATTTCGGCTTTTGAGTAACAGATGTCGCAATATTTATAACCTAATCGCAGCGTATGTATGTAACTACATACATACATGACTCCGACACAGCCTCCAGGTCAAGACGACGGCG